GAACAGACTTCATAATTCCTCTGAACTTCTCTCGTCCAGCTTAGTTGCTTTTCCTCCAGCATCCTGAATTCCAGCCTTCTGAACTCTGGAACTGCTGTGAACTAGGAAGTGTTGCACCTTTTAAAAGAGGTCACTTCCGGTTCATTTGAGGACTTTCTGATTGGTCGGTTGGACCAAACAGAGGTGTGTTTTTGTGATGTAAGAGGTTATTAAAAAGTCAAGGAAAAAGATTAAGTGTTTAGGAACAGACAGAAGATTGTTATGAAGAACTCAGACTTCGTGGAGTCAATTCTCTAGTATCTTTCTGTAAAAGTTAAACATGACAATTCTTTTTCAGTAAACTTGCAGTTGACCAAAACTTGACCTTTGACCAACTTACACTTGCTCATTCAAAGACAGAAAATCAGAAAATGCATAATTACTCTGTAACAGACCTTAACGTGATTTCTACTTTGCATGAGGATTAAAAATCACTAATACTGTTTCACAGTTGATTAAAAATGATTAGTTCACTTCAACATTTAAAAATGGTTTGAACTAAACACACTTTGATTATCAAACATTTGTAAAATAGTAATGATAATAAAAAGGAGAATGTTCTTTCAATTGATCAGTGCAGGACACTTAGAAAGTCTCTGGATGAACTTAATCTTGTGTTTCTGGACTCAAATCAATGAAATACAGTTCTTGTTCCAGGCAGGCTCTCAAGGCCAGATTTTGACCTGAGGCCTAGTTCACTACACTATAATACTAGTCCTATACTGTAATACTAGTCCTATACTGTAATACTAGACCTATACTGTAATACTATACTAGACCTATACTAGACCTATACTGTAATAATAGACCTATACTGTAATACTAGACCTATACTGTAATACTAGACCTATACTGTAATACTAGACCTATACTGTAATACTATACCTATACTGTAATACTAGACCTATACTGTAATACTAGGCCTATACTGTAATACTAGGCCTATAATATAATACTAGGCCTATACTATAATACTAGACCTATACTATAATACTAGACCTATACTATAATACTAGGCCTATACTATAATACTAGACATATACTATAATACTAGACCTTGGTGCGACTATCATAAGTTATCATTATTCCATATATTCTTACTTGTTTCTGAATCTGCAATCAGTGTTGTTCATTTACACAGCACAGCCAACTCCACGATCCATTTTCACATTTGAAAGTTCAAGTCACACATCTGGTGCCCCCAAACAGGGTCACAATACTTTGTGCAAAACAAAGATGTTGGTTATAGCAAAACGGCTTATTGGTAGATTGCATATGACCTTGCAATATTGTGCCAGATTGCACATAATGTTTGCATGCATTCCTTTAAGTTATTTTATTATAAACAATGCCTGAACTAAGTTTAATGATGAGATACAGAAAATATTAATTGATTAACAAAGTCTGTGTTCCCATTTTGGACAGAGAATCATAAAACTCTTCTTTTATGGCCACCATGTCTGGCGTGTATGCACTTGAAAGAAGAGGAATGAAAGTCAGTCGTAGTAAGACAGAGTACATGTGTGTGAATGAGGGGGAGGCAGGTGGAACAGTGAGTCTAAGGAGCAGAGGTCACAAAGGTGCAGGACTTGGGGTCAACTGTCCAAGAATAGAGGGAGCATGGTAAAGAGGTGAAAAAGAAACTCCAGGAAGGGTGGCAGGGTTGCTGGAGAAAAGTTTCAGGAGTGATTTGTGACAAAAGGTTGGCAACAAAGGTCAAAGAAAAAGTTTACAAGACGGTGGTGAGACCAGCTATGTTGTATGGTCTGGAGACAGTGGTACTGACAAAGACAGGAGAAAGAACTGGAAGTAGCAGAGATGAAGATGTTGAGGTTCTCCACAAAGATGGATAAGATTAGGAATGAGATCATCAGTGGTACAGCACAGGTTGAACAACTGGGAGATAAAGTTAGAGACACCAGACTGAGATGGTTTGGACATGTCCAGAGCAGGGACAGTGGGTTTATTGGTAGAAGAATATCAGAAAGAAAAAGGCCAAAGAGAAGATATATGGATGTAGTCAGAGAAGACAGTGAGGTATTTGGAGTGAGGACAAAGGACGCAGAGGACAGAGTGAAACTGAGGTGTATAACTTGCTGTGGCGACCCCTGAAAAGGTAACAGCCGAAAGAAGATGTAACCTCAGCTTGTGCAATGTGCTGTTTTATGTCACAGCTGCACTTCAGCGACTTTGTAAAGGGAACAGTTTTGTCAGAAGTTCTCAGAATTGAGTGAAACACACGGACTGGTTGTGTTTTTCAGTTTGTTCGTCCAACGTCCCTGTCCTCTGCACCAGCTCCACGACTGCCCTTTTAACGAGGCCATAGCCAGACACACGGGAGCAGATGTTACAAAGAAAACGCGCCGTGACGTGATTGTGATCGATGCACAGCTCCCCGCTGTATCCGCTGCATAATGTGGTGAATGGCATCAGGATAACAGCCAGCATTATGTGGAGACAGCTGTCGCCATGGCGCCCGGGCTGCCGTCCCCCTTTATTTCAGGTGGAGGCGGGCAAATCATTTAGACTAATTTAGGGTCTGCTTGTGTCGTTACCACCTTGAAATCTGTCTCGGTTCAGCTAAATAGTAATAAAAACAATAATCAATGCAGCCTTGGTAGAACGAGTGGCGTTTATGGGAAACAGAAGCATGTGGGAGTTCATGTTTGTCTTATAGTGAAGTAAAATGACATTTTAAAGTGGATCTTGTAAATAACTTCTGTGTTTTCTGTGTTGAATTCAGGACGGACAGAATGTTCGTTGTTCACATTTTATCCACAACAGCAGCTTGATTTGAACTTTAATGTCCGTACTTTTGAACAAGGCATAATGCATGCACCAAGAAACCAACAGATAAAAAATATCTCTAATGCTTTGTGTTACTGGTAATCTTTCACCTTCTGCACATGTAACGTCCTGCATCACAGTTACAAGTTTTCTTTATAAGTCATGTGAAAATAAAAAACAGGATTTCTTGGAGATGTCATATTGTGCCCACTGCCTTGCATGCCAAAGTTTTAAACAAAGATGCTATACTGTTAGCGCTCATAATATGTGTTCGGGTTACTCTCGGCTACTACCACCTCTCGTTTTAGGACAATATCAGCAAAACTGACTGGATTATAGCACGTTTTGTGTTTGTTAGAAGTTGATAAGCTATGGTGGCCATTTTGAATCGGGTTACTCAAAAAGGTAAATTAGTTGTAGATGGATATTGAATAATCTGAGTTTCATTTAAAATCTGTTTAGTGGTTCATGAGATATTTTGCTAACAGTCAAGTAGGATCGACTCCTACTGTTAAAGCTAGTTTTATGCAAATATGTTGCTTATTGAGTAGCAATCAGAGTTTTATGTGTTTCTCAACTACAACCACAACAAAATGTAGCTTTAAATCTGTCAAATGTAATACTTTATTTTAATTTTGGGGGTTTTCTAAAGTTGGTTTGCTGTGGCAGCCATCTTGAATTGGCTTAACTCCACCAAAAGTAGCACAATGGCTCAGTGGTTAGCACTATGCCTCACAGCAAGAAGGGCGTGGGTTCAACCCTGGTTGGACCTGGGGTCTGTGTGGCAGTGGCATGTTCTCCTCGTGTTTGCGTGGGGTTTCTACAGGCCCTCCGGTTTCCTTCCACAGTCCAAAAGCATCAAGTTAAGCTGCCTTCAGGTCTCTTGAGATCTATGACCTCAATGGATTTTGCCTCGTTAATTAATAGTTAATAAATAAAAAAGTAAACAAAAGGCAATCAGCTTTAAATGGACAGCCAATTTTTATTTCCTAAACATTTCATTAAAATCCATCCAGTGGTTCACAAGATATTTTGCTAGTCAGGCTAAGTCTCCAAATAATTGATGGCAAAATTTCAAACAATGATCTTGTGCAATCTGTGAGTGATCAGGAAATAATGTTGGGGATCCATCTTGGCTATGAGCACACCAAATTTTAGGCCAATAGTTGTAAAATTAATTGATTTGTAGCCATTTAGGTCTGTGTGTTTTTAAGGTAATTTGGCTGCAGCAGCCATCTTGAATTGGCTTTGACACCAACAGATAATCAGTTGGAAATGTACATGTAGTAATTAATATGGTTCATGGGTTATTTATTTTTGATAACAAACACATAGTTCAAAATACAGCTTTGAAAAGCACAACTTTGGTGTGTTTCCTTATTATTAAACCAGATTGGTGGCAAATTCATGCTCAATAATCGAATCCAACAAAGTTCAGTCATGTCCTCTGGACGGTTTCTGTTTTTGTTGAGACGTTTCGTCCTTCGTCCGAACACTTCATCCGTCTGATGAGCCACAACAAACACAGTCCCACAAGCAGCACTCTCCCATAGTGGACCAACCAGTTTGATGGTGGTAAGATGGTTTCTGGAGCCCGCTCTCTCCCCGTGGACTCGTTTCAGGCAGCCGTAGCCAAAGTGGTTCAAAACATCAAAGTTGTTGTTGGTGGGTTTTTCTTTTTAGTTGAAAATCTTTATTAAAAGTAAAACATTACAACAGCAGTTATATATTCAAACAAAATCAACAAAAGTCAGGGAGATTATTCAAATAAACACATTAAATAAGGTGCATAAATCAAACGTTTTTATAGCTTTTTTGTTATTAGTCAGAAATGTTTACAATGTACTGTTCACAATCCTTTTGGAAGGCCTGAAAAGAGGGAATAGAGTGACTAAACTTTGATCTGAGTATGTGGTATTTCCCTAAGAGTATAATCAAATGTAGTTATTTCTTTTTTGCTTTTGACATCATGGACTCCAAACAGTTTGTTCCAAATTAAACAGAAACTAGAGTCAATCTTTCTCTGGATACACCAATTGACTTCTTTTCAAAACGTAGCAGGAGTGTGACAGAGGCAGCCAAAACGTCAAAAACACATGAATAATCCAGGTAAAACCGGCGGCCATCTTTTGTGTAACAACAAACCGGTCCGGCAGGGGGCGATAGCGGGAACTTTTGGTCTGTAAGCACACACGAAGCAGACACAACAGAGCTAACAACACATGCCATACAGTTTGCTCGGTGAAAGAGAGAAATATCTCCTTTTTAAATATTTAATATAATGTTAAAAAAGAAATCAAGTGCCGCCGAAAAGAAAAGAAAACACTCAAAGTCAGAAGAACGGCAGGAAGGCAGGAAACGGAGGAGCTCGGAGCCACATTTAGAGGTGAACAGTTAGCATCATGCTAACGTCGCTGTTTCCTTCTTTAACAACTTAAATATTATTAAATGTCTAACATGTGCACTAAACTATTATTTACAGCTATAGTGTCCTTAAAATGAGCTGATGCTTTATATAAACTCTGCACAAACGCATTGTGTTATTTTGTATCTCAGTTAAAAAGTTATAAACAAGTGCATTGATTTGTGTCAGTTTCCAGTTTACAAACTGTGTTTGATCTGTACTTGTTTGTTTTTTTAGCTTTTGACCATTTTATTGTTTACAGTCTGTGGTGATGCGTTGTTTGAAAGTGAAGTAGGACGAACTAGACCTACAACCTGGACCTAAGTGGCTCCTTTGGAAAGAAATATAATTGGAAAAACTAGAGAAATGCAGTGTGAATGCTTATATCAGAAGAACTTGCTGAAAAACAGCTGAAATTAGCTTAAAAACATGCTGAAATTAAAGAACAAAAGGCAAGTCTAAATTAGCAGAAGAAAGCAAAAAGAACACGTATTTGATGAGTTGGGTTTAATTAAGCAGAAATTAGCACAATAACTAGGAAATCAGCTAATAAAGCTAAAATTAGCAACAACAACAAAACATATCAAAAGTAGCCAAAAAGGTAGAAAGAAGCTTAATCTACCAGAAGGAAGTGGAAAGAGCTGAAATTAGGTTAAAAAAAGTGGAATTAGCCGAAAGTGGGGAGTGGTGGCGCAGAGGTTAGAGAAGGTGGGCCTGGGATCGGAAGATCGTCGGTTCAAGCCCCGGTATAGACAACATCAAAAATGTGGGTGGGGTAGGTGAAACACCCACACCTGCCCCCACCCTCATTCGTCCCACTCTGGGCCCTTGAGCAAGGCCCTTAACCCCCACCATCTGCTCCTCCAGGTGTCCTAGATAGCAGCTCTGCTCCACACAGAGGGCTGCGGTAGCTCAGTGTCCGTGGTTACGTCAGGAAGGACATCCGGCGTAAAAATAACTGCCACGTGTTCGTGCGATGTAGTTCGCTGTGGTGACCCCTAAAAGCAGGGAGCAGCCGAAAGAAGAAGAAGAGAAAAAAAGTAGTAGAAAAGCTGAAACTAACTGAAAGTAGCACAACAAGCTGAAATTAGCAGAAAGAAGTTAATTAGGCTGAAAGTGGCAGAAATTACCAAGAAAAACTTGGGTTCATCTAAAAACAGCTGAAATTAGGAAAAACATTTTTTTTTTATAAAAACGTAGCTGGATGTTAGCAGAAGAAAGCTGAAAGAACATGTTTTGCCCAATAGACTGAAAGAAGCAGAAATGAGCACAAAATGTAGAAATTATCTGAAATTAGCTGAAATTAGCAACAACAACAACAAAAAAAAAAAAAAACGGCTGAAAAGTAGCTAAAAAGGCACAAAAATGGATCACAATAGTGTGAACGCTTCATAAACATTCACACTGTAAATGTTTAGACACGTTCATTTTGTCTGTCTCCTCTGTGTTGAAGGACTCCAAGGATGAGCTGGCAGACCCGGAGCTGGACCGGATCGGCAGTGACATAGAGGAAGGAGGACTGGACCTCAGCGTGCCCTTCCAGACCATCACGGCCTACATCAGCGATAAGCAGGAGATGCTGCAGCAGTGTTTCCAGGTGCTGGGGGAGAAGAAGCTGAGGAAGATGCTGCCTGATGAGCTCAAGGTGGTTTAAATAGAAGCTGCAGCTTCAACTCTCTGTCATGAACAGAAACAACGAGGAGCGTCTGAGACCACTTCACTGTCCTGACCCGAGTCAGCGTTCACACTATTGTTTTTCTGTTCGCACTGATTTCCGTATGTTTTATGAACGAACTACTTCAGCGTACTTTCTACTTCTTTGACTATTTGTATAACGATCACGTTTTCAGTCAGTTTTTAGCTATGTTTTTACTATTTTAACCTTTTTAGGTGATTTTTTTTCCCCCCCTTCTAATTCTGTTTTTTAGCTCTGGTTTTGCTAGTTTAAAATTTTAGCTGTTGTTTTGTAGCTACTGTTTTGCTGGTTTGGGGTTTTTAGCAACTGTTCTTCAGTCTTAGCTTATAGCTTCTTTCTTGAT